TTTATTTTTTATTTTTTTTTAAGACGAGAAGTGTTTGTTTCTTGTTCTTACTCGTTTTCTTTTCTTTTTCTCTCTCGTTTCTTTTCTTCATGATTCTCTCTCTCTCTCTCTCTCCTCTCTCTCTCTCTCTCTCTCTCTCTCCTCTCTCTCTCTCTCTCTCTCTCTCTCTCTCTCTCTCTCTCTCTCTCTCTCACTTCACTCTCACTTTCACTCTCACTCTCACTCTCTCTCTTTTCTCTCTCTCTCTCTCTCTCTCTCTCTCTCTCTCTCTCTCTCTCTCTTCTCTCTCTCTCTCTCTCTCTCTCTCTCTCTCTCTCCTCTTCTCTCTCTATCTATCTGTCTGTCTATCTATCTATCTCTCGTAATAGTAGTAGTAGTGTGAATTTATCATCTTGTATCATATTATCTCAGAATTATATACTAAGAATGTTAATATTTTTACTAAATTTTTAATTAAATTTATTGCCATGATTGATAATGACCACAAGCAAGTATATTGCTGACAGTTAATATAAAAACCCAGATTTGGTTGATTAATGCCCAGTTTAAGCCTCCGCCTCCGCCCGCCGCCCTCTAACCCCCCTCCCCTCCTCCCCCGCAGGCATGGGCGACCTGAAGACGCTGAGCCACAACAGCTACTCGCTGGACCGGCGGGGGCTGGTGACGCCGCTGTCCTCGCGGGGCTACTACGACCACGCCGACAACAACAACAAGTACAACAGCCTCACCAAGCTCCACAACAACAAGAACATCTCCATGAACAACAAGAACAGCAGCTACATCAGCCACAACAGCAGCATGAGCAGCAGCAGCGGGAGCAACACGAGCGCCATCAACAACAACATGAACACGAGCGGCAGCAGCCACAACAGCAGCAACAACAACAACAGCCCCCCGTCGTACCCGCCGCCGCCGCCGCGGCCGCCGTCGCACCAGTCCACGTGCAGCAACATCGAGGACGGCCAGCCGCACCACCACCGCCTGTCGGCCTACGACAACCGCCTGTCCAGCGCCTACGACAACGCCGCCGCCATCGCCTACAGCCGCGCCAACGGCTACTCGTCCAGCAGCACGGACCTGCCGCGCTACGACAGCCTCAAGAACCTCTCGAGCGAGTACCACCACCAGTACCAGTACCACAGCCACCACCACCACCACGCGGCCGGCCCCGGCGGCGGCAGCGGCGGCGGCCTGCACCAGCGCATGGGCGGCTCCGTGACCAACCTGTCGCGCATGGGCGGCGGCCACCACACGGGCTCCGTGCAGGGCCTGGACCGCTCGGGCTCCACCGTGGCCCTGGACCGCTCGGCGTCCGTGATGGGCTCCAACCTGGACCGCTCGGGCTCCGTGAGCGGCTCCAACCTGGGCCTGGACCGGTCCGTGTCCGTGACGGGCTCCAACCCCGGCCTCGACCGCACCATCTGCGGCTCCGTGGCGGGCTCCATCAGCGAGCTCACCCTCGACGAGCACCACCAGACGCCCTCGCCCTCCGACTCCGGCGTGGCGGAACTCGAGGCCATGCTCAAGGAGAAGGACTCCGAGATCAACACGCTCCGCGAGACCATGGAGCAGAACGAGCAGGTGATATTCAAGGTAGGGCGGGAGACGGCGGCCACGCCCACGACGCGCACCTGACGCCCCTGACGCTGTAGCCCTCAGACGCTTTACGGCTTTCGGGCTTTCGGGCTCTTTAGGACTCGTAGACACTTGGGGACTCTTGGACCTATGGGACGGGTTGGGGTAGGGGGCATAGAGTAGATAGTGCACTTGCGCAACAGTAATATAACAGTAATAGTCCTGATAATAGCCAGCTATTGATAGTGTTCATAGTAATAAGAATGATATAGTTAATATTCATTAGGACTAGGGATACAACATAAGATTGCCACAAAATATTTACCACATTTTCCCTCTCAGGTGTATGAGGAGAAGGAAAAGACGTGGGAGAGAGAGCTGAAGAAGATCAGAGACTTGTACGACTCCCGCCTGAAGGCAGCGCAGCAGAAGGCCCTCAAGGTGGAACAGCAACTTACCACCCAAACATACCAGGTAAGTTGCTTATATCAGAGTCTAAACTTACAGGAAAGAGTTGCTAAGTAGTAATCACTTCCTTTTTGTTAATGGCTCAGAGTAAGTGGCCCTGTGTTTATTCATGTATTGATTTGTAAAAAAAAGATAATTTAATCATCAGATGATTGACAAGCCTATGATTCGTTTTATTCTGATTTCACTCATTTTATTTAATCAGAATTAAATCTAACGAAGAATATTAATCCACAGCTACAGCAGGAGCGCAGGAAGCTGATGGCAGAGCTGGAGGAGGTGCGCCGGGAGAGAGACGGCCACCAGAGTCAGACGGAGCAGTTGCGGAGAGAGCTCAGTACTCTGAGGACCCAACTAGAGGAGACAGAGTGGAACCTTTGTCAGAAGTCAGGTTTGTATATTGTTTGTTGTTGTAAAGAAACTTTTCAGTTGCTTGTGATGTATTTTCTCACACATTTTGGATGTTCTAGCGGTTGGTAATTTAAAAACATGATGTAGATGGAGATTTGATTGTGTAATTTCTTGCAGGGGAAATCTCCTTGCTGAAAACCCAGCTGAAGGATTCCCAGGGCGACCAGACAACGCGCGGCCACGAGCTGCTGCACCTGAGAGCCCAGGTGAGACAGTACCAGAACGAGGTGGAGCGGAGACGTTCTGAAATCAATTCGCTGCACGACCTCATGGGTCAGCAGCGCCGTGAATCTGGCGACCTGCGCCTGCAGCTGGACCAGGCGCAGCAGCAGCGCTCCCAGGCGAGAGCACACGACCAGGACCTGCTCCTCCAGGTGGACAAGTACAAGTCTGAGGTCGAAGGCATGAAGCGGGAGAATGAGCTGCAGAGACAGCAGTTTGAGGAAGAGCGCAAGAAGTGGACAGAGGAGAAGGAGCGAGTCATACGCTACCAGAAGCAGCTACACCATAACTATGTGGCCATGTTGGGCCGCAACCGCCAGCTGGAGGAGGAGGTGGCTAGGTTGACAGGGGTACCGCTGCCCCCCTTGAAGAACCTCAGCCCACCAAAACTGCCAGCCGTGTATGCTGACATCCGGGATGCCCCGACATCCCCACAAATCTCCAGTGAGTCTCGATGCTGACGAGGAACTCGCATTGTGTGTCATGCTGGTCATGTGTACAGTCACAAGGATATAAAGTGTATAAGAAATGTACAGTCTCAGTGATGTGTGTATAAATATCATGGAAAATATTTTAAGGAACAATGGAGGCATCCATTTAGAAGTCTTACTTAGATCAGATCTGGTGCAAAGAGAAAACAGGAAGATGTGATTTGAACAGGACCTGTGTAATTCAGGAAAGAAATGTACCGTCAATACTAAAAATCAGATATTGCCTGGATTGTCTGTCCTTCCCTGGGAGTGGTACCTTACTGTAAAAAATATATTTTTCTCGTATTCTTTGTTGGACAAGGACATAGAAGGTGTCAGCTCTCCAGTGTTGGTCATAGACGCTTCTGCAAGTGAACTGATGAGTAGACGAACAGGAGGTCGCAAGAAATGTAGCATTGTCATGTGCTGATGTTCTGGCCTCTCTACCATGAAGCCTCAGGATGTGTGCGTGTATCAGAAATTGTACATGTTATATATATTTATAAATATATATAGATTTCTATTCTGTCTTCCTGATATTTTTAATGTTACAGACTGCAGTGCCCATTTTCATATCTCATCGAGGTCCGAGAAAAAGGGGCAAAAAGACTCGCTGTTTGATTTAAGAGATTTATATATAGATACAAAGCAAGATGGAAGATGTTTGTAATTTTTGTATAGAAATTTTTTTTATTAATTGTAAGAATTTCTAAGCTAGGAATACACAGTTTTAGTTTCTAGCCAAAGGTTATATTTAGTTGGAATGTTACACTCAAATTTTAAAGTTAAGGTTCAGTTGATATAGTTAACTGTTTTTACTGTGTACCTTTTCAGTCATAATCATCCGGTTTTATAGCTTTGATCTAACTACTATAGTTTCCAGTTATTTATTGCGTATGATTTTTTTGTGTGGAAAATTTGTATTACTATATTGGGCCTTTCAGGGGTTAGATACTTCTATAAAGGTATTGTATTGTAGTCCGAAGTTCCTTCTTTAGTCAATACAAGAGTAAGCAGGTAAATTGGTAACAGGATGACAAAGACAACACTGTTTTACGAGAAATTCAAACAGATTCATGTGTTCATTTTATCGGAGAAGTATTGTGTTTTATACTTGTCTGAGATTGACTCATTCCAAAATATTTTGGAACCCTTTTCTTTCCTAACCGATTGAAAACTTGTCTTTGTGAAATGTTGAATCTACCTGCGATGTATTTTCATATTTTATCTCCCTTTTATTCAGTTTAAGGGGAAGCCCATACTTCCCAAAATGTGTGGAATGACTTGTACCTTCCCACTCTACTTCTGCCGATTCATATTCAGTTTTGTTTTTTACGTGCTCATCAACCTTAAGCTGGACGTGGATTTGCCTTTCTTACATTTTTCTTTCGTGTACATACATTTTTATGGTGATTTTCTTGTCATGACTTTTTTTCTTTTTTTGTGTTTTCTTGTCCAATATAATGTTTGTTGCATTTGCTGGTGGTTTTGAAACACTGATTGACCATCAGGGTTATAATTGTCAAAAGGAACAAATGTCTACCAGTTATGAGCTGAACGTTGTTATATTGAACAAGAACTCTAATATACACATATATATCAACTTGATGCTCAATAATGTAGTAGCACTTTGGTTCTGGAGAGGACACAATATATTTCATATAATTATAGATAAATAAAAGAAAAAAATATATGTCAGGTGTGGATTGAGAGAACTTTTGTGTATTGAAACATCCCATTTGTTGTTCTCGGGTAATGCCTTACCTGTCTCAGTTCCCGGATGTACCACATAGGAAAAGTTTCTCTGCTCGCTCAGTTACATTGACACCTGAAATCTGAGGGAAGTGTGAAGAAGCTAGCACAAATAAATGAGGAATATATTAAGAGGTTTTTCCCTTTTCTTAACCTATGTGCATGCAATTGGGATAATGCAAAGGATGCCAAGCTGATTTACTTCAGTAGGCTAGATATAATATGAATTCACCATATAAGATAACAGATATGTAACATATTGTTTAAAACGTGATAAAAATATAATACACATAAAAGACAAAAAGCTCATTTGATTCATATGGAATAAAGGATATAATGCAAGTAGTATTCTTAAAAGACAAAAGGCTAATGGAATCCTGTATAACATAAGAATGTGTCTGGCTGCAGCAGCCCATGGACCACATTTTTGACACTATTTTCTAGAATGCGATCTGAAAAAGGTGTACTACGTAAACAAAAATGATAATGATTAAACATCTTCATGTCTTTGGGGGCATATTTCTAATTACATTGAGGTAAAATACAATTTGAAGGTACTTTTAATATTGAAAAGGAAAATACAGCAAAGGAATATGTAATTCATGACATGAACCTCCACATAAACCTAGAGGGCGCTGTTACCACGACTCAGGAAGCTCATATATTTGGTGATTTTTGTTCTACCGATATGTGCACTGCGTGGTTTTACATGGTGATAGGTAAGTCTATTGTAAAAAAAAAAAAAAAAAAAAAAAAAAAAAAAAAAAAAAAAAAACTGCTGAAATTTCATAGTAAAATATTTAGCTTGTAAACTAGCACGTTATTTAGACGCAGTGTGCCGGTAGGAGCTGTATTGTAGCCGGTCGTAGTGTCTTGCTGTTAAGACGTAAACATTCAGGGTACCCCGAGGCAACAATAATTAGTACCTTAAAACAACTCACTATGTGAGACTAGTTCTAGGCGTGGGGTTTCTACATGATCCACCCCATACCCAGTGTAACCTTCCTGTCACCCTCTCCCTGACTCCTTTCACAACACTGCTGCCTCGTCACCTTTCGTAGGCAACCCGCTACTCCTCCCACCCTCCTCATGACTTCTCACTAATCCCGCAAGTGCTACCAGTAAGTTAAAAGATACTGATATAAATTCATTAAATGAAACATGGTTTTCGATGATTAAGCCGGCATTGTGGTATAAGTGACAGTAGTGTCTGTACGTACGTCCTTGCGTACGTCAGTCTATGAACGCCGAAGAAGCACCAACACCGCTCCTGCACACTTCGAATGTCTATGGGTGCATTTGGAATATGTTAGGCGAGTAGGATTATTATCATTATGTGTATTGTAATATCCACAATACCGTCCGTATGTTATAGCCTGATGACATCTTATTTATTGGTTTGTGACAGTCTTTGTAACAAATTTGGATAGCCCGCAGAGAGCAATGGTCGGAGGCATCGAAGTGTCTGATGGTACGTACTGATGCTCAATAGACCTATAGTTTTGTCTTGAGGGATACATGATGGTAGTTCCAGAGAGGATTCCAGAGGGACTGAACGGCTGACTATGCTTTGCCGATTTTAATATCGATCTTGACATCATCTGAAGGTTTAATAAGTAATCCGAGGTATTGAAACTCTCGACTTTCTCTATAGCCTCACCGTTTACATGTTGACAGTTTAAATGTGGTAGAGATGCGATGACCTCTGCCTTGAGCATGCTGTTAACAAGACTTATAGACCTAGTAGACCTTTCTACTGCTTCTATAATATGCTGTTTTTCCTTAACTGATTTGGATAGCATAGCGACACAGTCAGCATAATTCAAAGCGGTGATGGGAATCTCACCTATAAGCATGCCTTAATCGTTCAAGTAGCCTGAAGGTACAGTTGAAACAATTAGGGGGGAGAGTATATCCCTGGCGCACTCCAGGACTAAACAAAGTGTAATACAATGTGACGTATGAACCTTTAGTTTCTTAGCCTCGAAAGCCCGGGCCACATAGCAAATGCGATAAATGAGTATTTTGTTGTAGAATGCACCAACTATCCCCTCCAGCCCACCAGCCATTGCACCTACACCATACTATTCGAAGTTGGACATACACAAGTAACTAAAGAAAATAAATAAAATATCTTCTTTACAACTAATAAATGAATTTGCATATGAACTATGTCCACCTCTGGAAATCATCTACAACAAATGCCTACACACTGGAATCGGCCTCACACAATGGAGGGCTTCAATTGTGGCAGCACTGCTTAAGGTAGTCCATGTCACCTGCCAAGAAATGCTGCAGCCTGTGGCACTCTTACACACCTTCAGGAAGACGTTGGAGGGCCACATAGCAAACCTCGCTCTGGCTGACAAAAGGCACCTCATTGATCACCAGCAGTTTGGCAACTTGAAGGGCCGCTCTACCATGCTGTATTTAGTGTAGCTTATGGATGTCATACTGAAGGCCCTGGAACAGTGGAACTCTGTAACACAACTGTGCCTAATTGATTTTAAAAAGCTGTGACCCACCTATACTATCTCAGATGCAGTACTTCACTGCTTCTATTCATAATATCCTTCTTCAGTAACATATGGTGGCAAGGCATCTGTTTGACTGCAAACCACATGGGCCATGCATTAGGACAGACCTCTTCTCCACACTCATCAACAGTTTTCAACGCTACACACTTTGCAAAGTAATATTTATTGCCAACTATAACCGACTTCAGTACAAGATCACCACAGCTCACCTACAGTGTGAGGACTTAAAATTCATCCGAAACCCTAACAAGTGTAAGGTGCTTAATATCAGTTTCTTCAGAAGGGGCATATTGTCCCCAAGCATCCACCTTTGCAAAAATGAAATCCACCAAATCATCACAGGCAAAATGGATGGGCTCCTCATCAACTCGAGCCTGACTTGGCAAGGCCACATAGACCATATTGTAACTCGAGCAACCATATAAGGTCTTTTTACAACAGGTGAGGAGCAACTGATCCATCAGTATTGCCTGAGGATCCGACCTGAGCTGGAGTCCATGTGTCCAGTGTGGCACTTAGAGGCTGTGCAGAAGAGGGTATGTTGCATCATCCTTGCCCACCCCTCCCAAAACTATACCTAATCTCTCACAAGGTTCACACTGCCACCATTAGGTGACAGGCAAATGCACCTCACCCTATGTTTTGGGAAAAAGCTGCTCCCAGTCACACATGCTTCTACAGAGACTGCGGACATGCCACCAGGATAGGCACCAGACTAGGTTACTAACTGTCAGGTGTAAGACTAAGTGATATTGCAATTCCACAACAGCGTATGTTATTAAAGGGTTATAGGAGAGTTTGTGAAATGCTATCTCAAAATCAGTGCACACATTGATAAACATCTTTATCTTGATGTAATTATGTTTAATGTTTATTTTCTTAACAACACCCTTTTTTTGTTTTAAAATTTTATTGATATCCGTATTGTATAGAAGAATTCATTGTTAACCTAAACCTCTTCAGAAACATGGTAAATTTTGTATTCTGCTCATTGGTCAGTAAACCAATTATCATAATTATAAAACAGTTAATGTTATATATTCTCAATGCATCTCATTAATCACCACAAGAATAAAAAGCATTACAACAAAAAAGAAACAAAATTACACTAGCAATGTCTGCAAGAATAAACAATTTACAAGGAGATCCATGTTAGGTTGTTATGCATCCTTAAATATATTGCTAGTATAACCATCAGGAAATTCCTGTAACTGTTCCACTAGTTTCTCTTAAAGATCGTAATTACTTTGTTAATTAATATGAAGCAGTTACTTCTCGCTTAATAGTACTTTGACCACGTTAGTCTGGTGATGCTTTCTTACTGTTTATTCTTTACACTTAGTTCTTGTTCAAGAATGTATCAGATGCACCTGGAATAAATACACATAGCAGAATAGATAAAGAAACACATTTATTTTCTAACACTTTGGTAATTTGATAATGCTGTAGTTCACTATTTACAATGACACAGACCCGTAAGGCTACTACTGAGTGAGCGTGAGCGACTGGCTTTTTGCTTGGTCTTATATACAAAAACTCTTTTTCAAGCTGGTTGAAAAAAGCAGTACGTAATAGCATGCAATGGAAATAAAGGAGAGTGCAGGGTCGGTAAATGAAAATGATCAAGACTTTAGAGATAAGCCATGAAGAGTAAGGGTTCATTATTTTAAAACTCAGTAAGTGATTCTAATTATAATTTATTATTTTTTATAATTACAATAATCAACAGATTTTTAAAATTTTACAACTATTCTTATCTTTATTTTTACAATAATTAGTGGATTTTCCTATACTTACATATAGTGATTCTTTGTAATTACAAAGAAAAGCACCCATATTGCAACTGCCAATAGACCGATTCGGTAACGCCTAGCAACCGCCCCTAGCAACGAGCACTTGGTGAAAACAAACCCTTGTTCGTTCGAAAAATCACTGCTCTTTGCTTACAAAATCGCTGAATTGTCCTGAGAATTTCATTTCTTTGTGTGAAAATGCCAAGGAACTGTGTTGTCATTGGTTGTTCAAACCACAACATGATGGGAAAGAAAGGTTTAACTTTTCATATATTTCCATATCACGAAAAGAAACCTGAATAATGAAAGTGATGGGTAGGCCTACAGGCCATGAAACGCATGGACGCTGATGGAAGTGCATGGACGCCTGGTGGAAAATGTTTACATCTGCTCAGAACATTTTATTGATCTACATATAAATATATTACACCTTTTCAAATTTCAGAGACAGATAATTACTTTCAAACTCCTATCTACACAACCTATCAAGGCCAAACAAGATCAACATTGTCGACATTAGGTTTTGGCAGTAGTCATATATTCTAAAAAGCACAAAAGCAATTCTATTATTTTCATTTTATTCCTTTTTTGTAATAAATTGATTTATCATAATTTATATTTACAGGCAAACCATCCCCGATCCACTTCACCCAGACTTTATCCCAAGTGCCTTCAAGCACTGTCCATTAAATGAAAACAAAGCAGGTATACAGTTGCCTGTTGCCTTTGTCTGAAATGTCATATGGTCCAGCAGAAGAAACAACTGAAGAGGGCCTATCTCTTGAGGTCAAATTATTGAGGAGAGAGAAAAATGCGTTGTGCGCTTTTAGGCCTATATGTGACTTCATTGTCTCCTTTGTATAAACACCTAGTAAATGGGAAGAAAAGTGATGTTAGGAAGTGGCACTGATTTCACAGAAAAAATACCTATATAGCTAAACGTCATACATTACTGTAGCAAATTATGTTATTATATAATTATTATTATCATCTGCTTTATTGATAGAATAGTCGTAGATGTCAGAATATTCAATTTTAGGTCATTTCGAAGGATCGTCGATCCAGATTTCGGTATGAGTACTCTTTTAGCTACACAGCTTCTAGTTTTGCTTCATATCACCTTTTCGCTTCGGTTTTTGAAGAATCAAAGAATTCATACGCCATTTTCCTTCACGATGATAGCGAGGTATCTGCGAGCATTTTCACCAAGTGGAATGGCGACTCCGACTCGTGACGTCACACTGAATTGGTCAATATATTAAATGCATATCTGATACATAAAAAAGAAGACTATTGTGTTTATCCATTTTTCATCATTTATAAAAATATTTTGTTTATGACAACCAACTATAGATGCACAGAAAGACATACACTCCCACATATACCAATATCAACAGTCATATATAAAATTTCATTCTATTACTCCTACTGCAGAATGTACACTGTGACCAAAAAAAGCCATCTTTTCCAACGGTGACGGCAAAGGTGACACCTCTCGCGCAGCAGGAATAGAGTAGGTGGTAAACATATCGAGTTAATAGATGCATTCCTCATACCTCAGTTATTTTCATCCATATTCATACATATAGATATCTAAAACACAGCAAAACCAACATAAGATTAAAAGTTATCTAGGTTATTATATTCTAAAATATTGTGTACCAGTTGAAAGTACAGTAAAACAGCTAGCTGTCAACCGTGGCTATTACCATTTCATCACAAAAGTGGGCGGAGCAGAGCAACATGTCTCGCCTCTGATCACGAGACAGCTTTTGGGTATTGCAGTGCATCACGTGACACCCTAATAACCACCAGAAAAGATGGCAAATCTGTCTTGTATTGCATTAAAGTACATATATTATACATATTTGTAAAAAATGTTAAAACTCGTACCCAAACAAACAGCTGACATGGAGTACCTAACTATATATCAATAATACAGCGATAAGTCTATTCAAGTTGGCACACATATATACCACTTTTCTTAAAGCTTTGATTTCTTGGTGAAGAATTTCATTAATGAAGTCATAAACTCTTCAGTGGTCCATGATTCTGCCAAACGTTTGCATTCCAAATCATTCACCTGCAAAGAGAGAGAGAAAAAATATATATAAAACATATGATTTCTACTTTCATACCAATGATTTTCCCCCCCCCTTAGAATAATGCCTACCAGCCATAAAAAAACTGATGGTGTATGTTGATTGCATATTTATTGTCAATGGATTAATAAAAGTTTTAAGACAAATGAGAAATCTTACCTTAAAATTGATGACAAAATGAACCTATAAAAGTGACATGCAGTGACACATGACATGTGACATATATCATGGTATGTAACTTGTTCACAAGCAATGGTGTATATTTCTTGTAAAAAAATGTAATCCCTAGTTGCCAGCCACCATACAATTCCTAGTATTTACCCTGAACAAAGTTATAACAACAAACCTCATGAAGTTTATCCTTTAAGTGTGATCTGATAAGGCCCTTAGCCCTCATCATGGCAATGGGAGGAAGCTTGGCCCACTGATGCAACCTTGGCCAGACCTGATCCATGTGCTCATCTGGAAACACCTCAGTCACTAAACCCAACTTGCATGCTTCCTCTGCATTCATCTGAAACCGTAAGTTTTGCAGTTGTAATTATTTTATAACAAAATGTCAAAGATTCTGATTCATGAAAAAATACTTAAAAAGTGCTTTGCCCCTGAAAGTATATCATACCTTATTATATGGATATTGCATCATTAGTATAAAGTGGTATAATCCTGCAATATATTCTTACATATTAAGGGTATCACTTTACTTTCTCTAAAGTGGAGTAAGCCAGTTAAATTTTTTGGGGGGTTATATTCCACTCTGTCCCCTACTAATCCTTTTTACTAATACTTCTGGGTAGAGGAAATTGATTGCATTAAGTGCAGCTAATTTAGAGTCCCCTTTGGAATCCTTGATGGCCCCTGTTTTTCATCCATTAAATGGCACTCCTGTTCCATGCTATAATGGTATTGGTTGTCCGTTTCAATTACTAAATGTATAATCAGGAGTCTGGTAATAAATTCCTGAAACTTAAAATAAAAGTTGGTTATCCATGGAAAATTGTAATAATTTGTGTAACAAATAAAAAAGTTTTAAAGAGACTGAAATACTAAAACATCAAACTTAGAAATCATACATATCACAGAAAGAGGATGAAATCATGAAATTACTGAAATCAATGTAAGTGACTACACATTTTTTAAAGATGCATAGTTAAACCTCTCAACAGAGTATATCCTGTTAATACCTGTCTTATCAATCCAATCACGACAAGTCAAATATTGTCTGGCTCATGGATGGGGTCATGAGGTATTATCCCCGTTACTGAGACCAGGGCTCATGAAATGAACAGACATAGCTGCATCAGTGATATTTTCACTGTAATTTGATGGAATATCACCTGTTGCAAATAGATTGATAATGGTCTTAGATAATATTTCTTACTCTTTAAAAGTCATTACATAACATCTAGACTATTAATGTCCTAAGCACCTAAAATCTGACACATCATTGATCTGCTGCTCACTAACCTTTCCAATCAATAAAATTATTTAGTCAGATAGCCGCCTGAGTTATTGTACAGTTAAGATAAACTCGCTATTAGGTGAATCCATCCAAACAAAATGAAGATGATGACTAATTTATTGACAAGGTACTTGAAGTTGCATAAGGAATTAAAGATACATTTAACTCCAACTATTCTGGCCAAGAGCAAAAGTATAAAGAGAGCTTCCTTCATTTCATTTTGATTTTGATATCATATGGCATATCATTAACAAATTATTGCTAAAGAAAGGGAGGAAATGAGGAAGGAAATACACCGGTGTACAAATGGTGGATCTTAAAACTGGAAAAAAGTGTTGATTGGGAAGAAAAACTTTTTGGAGTATTAAATTTCACTAAAAGTTGCTGGTAATTACTGTGCTTTACTAGTTAAAGGAATGAGTCTGAGATGAAAATAAGTATTTGTTAAAATAAAAAAGGAAAAGTTTTGTCAGACTCCCATCTATAACTACTGTAATTATGTAATCATAAAAGGCTTTACAGTTACACATCTTCCAATTGATGATACCATAAATTTACTTGTATAAATGTTCTGATTCTCAACACAGGTAACAGGCAGAGATATTCTGATATAAAATACTAAACTTCATTCAGTGTTTGGTAAAACAAAATTTGAAAATCACAGAAAAACTCACAATCAACGTAATGATTAGTTTCACCCTCTCTTTATATGAATCAAAAACTACTATATATAAATATCTTGTGGATAAGAAAAGAAAAGCAAAAAACACAGATTCAGAGAATCCCCACCTTTTTTCCAAAGACGAGCATTTCTGCGGCCTTTCCCTGTCCCATGATCCGAGGGAAGAGGTAAGAGGAACATCCCTCAGGCGCTTGTGCAAGACTCACAAAGGGCGTGTGGAAGACTGCCTGAAAGGAGGAGAAAATAAAATATAGACTTCACCTCTTGTGGCAAGGTAATGTAATGTTACTGTTTAAGTTTAGGAGGAATTTCAAATAATTTCATTTCAAGTCATTTCATATTATATTGAATCTGTAAACACTACTGGACTTCCTACTCGAGACTCACCCTATTAGTGGCATAAACGATGTCACAGAGACCTAGCATGGTGACTCCAATACCCACTGCCGGACCATTGACAATGGCAACAAGAGGTTTAGGGAAGTCAATGAAAGCTTTCACTAGTCTGTGGGATGAATGGCAGTAATAGTAATGATAAGGGATATAAAGAGTAAAGGTAGCAATAGTAATAGTATCAATAGTACTACAAAATATTAATTGATAACAAAAGTAATGTTAGCATGGCAATAATAATGAAAAGATATATATAACTAGAAGTAATGTCTATTCAGAAAACAATGGCATGAGCAATAAGTTTCAAAATCAAACATTATCTGTAACAGCACAGATAAGTGAAATGAAGACTGACTGGTGACAATAATTATAACAGAATTTAAGACAATGCAGATAATAACTGATGATATCTTCTTTCTTCTGATAATAATAACTGAAAGAATTTATTATCAATTAATATCTTTCCAATAATAATGATAGTATTTGACATGGAGAAAAGTTGGGAGAAACAAACGGTAAATGTATAAAATTCAGTTCAGAGCAACAATTGAGCAATACAAATTGAATATTAAAAGACCAAATCAACTATTAATGCCAAGAATATAAGATCACGTGAAAGGCAGAGGCAGAGAATCTTACCTGTTAAAACTACCAACAGTTGCCTGTGCCAATAGCTCTAAATTTACTTCACCTTTTTTATCAGAGGCACCACCTGACCCTGATGCTCTGTGGAGAAAAAAAAGATACAAAATGAAAAAATAAGGACATAATGCATATTCATGAGTTGATTAATATAAGGTGAAGCTATCTTTAAGTTGCCTTTTGCCTTATAAACAGCTGTGTACTGTGTTTCTCTTTAAAGACACAAGTAAAACAGTTGGAAATAGTCTGTTTCAGTTGATGCCCAAAACTTAGACAAAATAATTACATAAAGCAGTTGCATAAATTATTTTTATATTTAGTACAAATATTGTGCAGTCTCTTGCTACATAAGCATGATAATTACACACTGAACAAATATATATCTCACAAGTATATAAAAGCATGCATATAATGTCAAACAAAATAACTAAGACATTTTCCTTATAAAAAATAAGGCCAGAACAGTTTGGTGCATTTTCTGATTCTCTTTTCTGTATTTGTTTTGAAGAAACATATTAATATTGAGATAAAAGAAATTACCACACACTTTTTCTCATAGCAGATACTAATTCAGGTAGCAATGTATTTCTTGAATTAGAAGCAATGAATTTCTATAACAATTCCACTTCTAATTTTCTCCACATTTCATACTAATTGTTTGTGCAATTTTCAGGTCATGTATAAAACAAAAGGTAAATAAAATAAAATGAATGAAGAATAGCCTAATTGCAGAACCATATTCTATGAAGATTATGCAAAATGCATAAAGCTGAGATATTTAGCAACTTTAAAAAGAGTCCAGAATGTAATGAAATTGAAACTAACACATGGACCCATCATTAATTTTACTTCCATTTTTATAAACACATTTCATTTATGTTTTTGTAAATTTCAATTGTATTCTTAGTCTTCTGATATAGAGTGAATAAAACTCTTATTTATAAATAGATAGTATATATCCTATTTTTTTGTCTCACAGTCCAAATACGAACCCTAAGACAAATCTTTAAAACATCCATCAAAACTGAAACATTCCATAAAACACCAAAAGTTGCCATTCAAAGCCCAAAGAATACCAACCCCTTTGTGAAGTTGGAGAGATCATTTCCCGAGGTGAAGTAATCTCCCGTTCCAGTGACAACGGCAATTACAGCATCTGGGTTGGATGCTGCTCTCTCTAGGGCAGGGCCTAGACCAAGCATAATCTGTGTTGAGGGGATGAATTTGATATGAGAATATTGTGATTTAATAAGGTGTGAAACTAAATTATCTACTTTCATACCAATGATTCAGAGTATTTTTTTTTTTTTAGAATAATGCCTACCAGCCATAAAAAAACTGATGGTGTATATTAATTGCATATTTATTGTCAATAGATTAATAAAAGTTTTAAGACAAATGATAAGCTAAGTTATGTACTGTGAGACATAGTTTGATGCAACAATAATGTCAACAATGGAAGGAAATGCGAGTGAAGATGATGATGATGATGATAAAAACAATGATGATGATATGTATGATGTTGACATTAATGGGCATGATGATGGTGATAATGATAATGATGATGATGGTGATGATGATGATAATGATAGCGATGATGTTGATGGCAACTGTAATGATAACAATGAAGATAATAATGATACTGATGTTTACATGACATGTTAGTGAGCTGAACTAATAAGAAATAAGGGTGAAATGAAAAAAAAAAAAGGAAGATGAATTTGAAATAATAAATTCAGAGAAATGAGGTTATGTAATTCTTAATTATTATTCAACAGATAGAAGACATGGAATGAAAAAAATCTGAACATGATAAATTCAAAGACAATTATAAAACAAGTCTATTATTATGACATCACTATATTTTAATTTTCTGCAAATCTACCTGCCACTGATATAAAAGCAACTTACTTTGTCGTTAAAAGCATTTTTCCTTTTCGGTCGGTTGAATCTGATTATGTATATGCCGTCCTTTACTACCTCTACTAAATCTGGTTCCTTGAAGTAAAGAAAAAAGATAATGGGTTATAAAAATATCAAATTTCCATTTCCCTTGGTAAAAACCTATAATATTTATAATATGCTTCAATATACAAAAAGAAACTAAGTATTTCTTTAAAATTATTCATATAGCATGAAATACCATTATGCAGTCATTGTGAACTTAATCAGAAAATATTCAAATATAAAACATTTAAACAGAAATCATTACAATATTTAGATTACCTGATTAGTAGCCATTTTATACTTCAAGATTTCCTTTGTGGGCAACAAATCTGTCAAAAGAAAAGAAAATTAGTAATTAAAAAAAAAAATCAGTCAGTGCAATACATGCCTAAAACAAACAAAAGTATAAATAACGTTAGTGTAAATCAATTCTGGGTTATGTGCTTCGTCAAATCCTCTTGTACTTCGTCCCATTCTTAAACATTTGCAAGAATAATATATGCCAGATTTTTGTATAGGAAATATATAGATAATATTCTTTTCCATGATATCCTTCCTTATCAAAGAGAGAGGTTAAAAAGCACAAATTTTAAATACAAAGAACAGCAACTCCATAAAATGCAATTTACATTTCTTTATATCATAGGAGTGAAAGATATTTTTAATTAACTAAATGAAATAAGAGAATAATAACTCAGTCTAATATAAAGATTACAAAAGGTATGAATACTAATAGATAATTCCATTATGGGACATATGTGACTAATATTTCATTATAAAGGTAATTGTGTTCATAGACAAACTGCTGGTGGGCAAAAATACTAATTTAAAACTGTGAGAAGCTGCAAAAACAATTGTAAAAGATTTGACTCTATAAATGTCACAAAACGAAAATGTACTCATCGAAGAAATAGGCCTCAATAGGTATTTTTGCCAACAGCAATGTTTGTGTGACATTAGAGCCAAATCCAGTGGCATGTCTAAAGAAAATTTTCGTTTCTGCATATCAGCAGTGCATAATAATTGCTATTCAAAACTGTCAGTTCAAGTATGCATACCCTAAGCTACCCCAATTAATCAATCAATTTACAGTTGTCTGATGTGCTTTACTAATTTACATACACCGAAGAATGCCTTATAAATCTTCTCTATGGAAACTTTCCTAACTTATTGTCATCCCATAGAGTGCTAATAATAACAACACATACTTCATCAACACACGAGAATTGAACGTTAAAAGGTTAATAAGTACATTATGACATTATTCCAAGCTCCATTATGCAATCAAATCAGAACTGCTAAATTAAATAAATAAAAAATAACACGTTTCTCACCAAGTTCAATCGTCTCTATCCCTTAACCGAGCAAAATAATGTGACTGATCTCTCGAATTCTTTATATAATCAATAGTATCTCTTATCTGAGCATCGTAAGACATCTTTTGGAGGTCAAAGGTCGAGTAACTTTAATGATAACTTTTTTTATTTAGTTACTTTGTTCTTTACGTAATGCCGTATCTTTATTACGATATTCACCTGTTATTTTCCATCTTCTTACCTTTATTAATTACTTAAAGGATATGTTATGTCTGTGAAGCCTATGCTATCCTCAATAATAATAATTCAATAATAATAATTCCTATTTACAGAAGAGCTGCAGTATTTTGGTCGTCTACGAAATAGATGTCAATGGTGAATGTGACGGCCCGTTTTCCCTTGATTTTGTATTATTCGTATATGTATATATATATATATATATATATATAATATATATATATATATATATATGTATATATACATATGTATATAAATACATATGTATGTATATATACATATGTATATATATATCATACATATATATATTTATATATATACATATATACATAGACACACACACACACACACACACACACACACACACACACACACACACACACACACACACACATATATATATATATATATATATATATATATATTATATATATATATATATATATAATATATATATACATTCATTAACGGTAACCTTGAGATACATTTGAGACGGTAAATATCCACATCAGCATAGCAGTATTTCCCGCGGTAGAAATGTCCTTGGCGGCTTGCAATTTTACACAATCATCTATTCTTGCACGCTTTGGATTTTTCTCTCTCATTTGTTTATATCCGGTTAATTTTCTAGTTATATTCTACACAGTTTTAGCTCGCATGATATATTCTTGGCCTAAGTTTACTGAGGATATTTTACCTAATATTGTCTCCATCTTTGTATGACTGATTTCCTTCAAATTATAGATGCTGTTTAGATCAGTGGTTCACAACCTTTTCTATCCTGTGGCCCCCGATCAAGCTATAATAAGCTCTATGGCCCTGCTCAGTCTGTCCTCCTTTCAGATTCTGTTATGGCTAATTATGAATAGCGTAATGGTACCAATAGCTATAGGACACGAACATTATATGGAGAGATTCTGGTTTATTGATACGCGAGAGATGATTATCTGTAAGTACTGTGAGGCAAAATCTAGTTTAATTCGGTTATAGTTTTCACATTGCTCCATTGCCCCCCAGAGAGTATCCCATGCTCCCCCTGGGGACCATGACCCCCAAGGCTGAGACAGGGTCTAAATACTTATATAGACCAAGGTCTACTTATAAAGACCTTGGGCTCGGAGCCCCTGGTTTAGAATTGGGTGAAAGAATATAAAAAATGCTGATCAATTTGTTTTCATTATCTAGTTGACAGTACGTAATGTCTCCTAAAGCATATTCGAATTGTCTCTTTTCTATTTCAGTACAGGAGATAATAGTTAGTATGAATCTATTTTGTCCTTATTTTCGCCTATACGTAATTTTGGACTTAATAAACTATGTATTTGCCTGTTTTGTGTGACAGCTATGATAACATTATAGCATTTATATGTACTATACATAATAGAAATGATTTTCTATCAGACAGCACTAATTCTTAAATTAGGATATAGTGAAAATGGCCTTCTTGTATATCAAAACCAAAGGCAAAAAACATTTAAATTTAGCGCCACTGCAGTCAGTGGTTGGCGCATGCGCACTCCTTCGCGCATGTAAACATTTTTAGAGTGCGCACAGTGTTCGGATGTATTAAACAAATATGTGCATCATTCAAGGGTAGTTGACATAGGGTTGATTAGATATTCCCTTTTTATGAGAAATATTACATATTTGTGGAATAAAGTAATATATATCGCAATTTTGATTAATACAATGAACTCTATTGCTTAGTGGGAGACACTATTTTCTGAATCCCACGCCGCTCAAACCGAACATCCGTCACCAGCCATGGGTGGGTCAGTCGTGTTTTGAATGTGGTTGAGTAAAGACCTATTTCCCCGTCTTTTTTGGATTTTATGGACAGTTTACCCATGAATGTAAGTACCAGAAGTGTTTATTCGTTCAATGTGGATCCTGTTGTAACAAATGAACATGAATGCGGCGTCCATGAGGCGTAAAAGAGGATAAAACACGGAAGAAAGTCGGTGATGCGAGAGTGAGTGAGAGAAAGAGACAGTGTTAAGGTGGAAATACTTGAGTTATGAGACCAAAGTTTCTCACAAAATCATTTATTTCTTCATCGAGTTATACTTCATTCTTTGATATCCTCGAAAGCCGATGGTTTTTAATCGTGAATCTACATTTACGATTATAATACGCCAAGAAATAGAGGTTTATAATGAGAATCGGCAGGGTTTCTAGTCGAGGTCATGTTTTACAATCATTTCGTTAATAAGCTTCGCAAATGCCGCATTTTTTTCCGGTGATATGACGTGGTAAGGAAGGTCTTAGCGTGAGAATATCATTATATACGATTCTGTGCGATTTACCCCGTTGAAATTTCACTTAGATGTTGAAGGTCGGGAATGCAGACTGGGAATTCGAGTGGCATTTGGTTTATTATTCATGTATTAAAGGTCTGTGTTAATTTTACAGCGTCTCGTGTGTTTGTGAGATGTCGCTGGCATTTAAGAGGAATTTATTTTTTTTATTTGAAGCTATAATCAAGCAACCTGTTTATTCAAGGGTTTAACAGGTGTCCAGAAATTACTCTTGTATTTTTTCAACTCTCGCTTTATTGTCAAGTTTTATTGTCATTATCATTCCTAAATCTCCATATTTTATTACACCAATTATGTTAGAACAAGGAGACAATGGATTTTCTCTTTAATTAGCACATGAAAGGTGTGTATGTTACCTGTCATGAGAACTAGGTGTATCCCCCCCCCCTCCTCTTCACCCTTCCTCCCCAGGCCTTATAAAGCTTTTTCTTTTGCTTTCTTTTATCGTGTTCTGCTGCATCATAGGGTCAGTGCGCATTTTGGATCGTTTGCATTTTGAATATAGCAGCTGAAATTAATTGTTTGTGGTTGTTTTTGTGTGTGTGTTGTGTGTGTCTGTCTGTGTGTTTATATGGGTATATATGTATATGTATAACATATTTATAAATATATATATTTATATGTATATATTTATATATATATATATATATTTATATATATATATATATATATATATATTTATATATATATTTATATATATATTATATATATTATATTATTTATATAATATATATGTATTTACATATATATATATATATGTATATATTATATATATATATATGTATATAATTATATATATATATATATATATATTTATATATATATATTTATATATATATTTATATATTTATATTATATATATATTTATTTATATTTATATTTATATATATATATATATATATATATATATATATATTTATATTTATATTTATATTTGTATATTATGTATATATGTATTTATGTATTTATGTATATGTATATATATATATATATATATATATATATATATATATATATACATATATACATAAATACATAAATACATATTACATAAATATACAAAATATAAATATATATATATATATATATATATATATATAAATATAAATATAAATATAATAAATATATATATAAATATAAATATATAAATATATATATAAATATATATATAAATATATATATATATATATAATATATATATAATATATATATATATATATATATATATAAGTATTGTATATCAGAATACCCTTATTTTTGCATATTTGGATCTTTAGTGATATTGTATACCTTATTGATGATCTCTACTGAATACAATTTATTTATTTGAATAATGATCCCATTTAAAGTTGTTTTAATCTAATGAATGTTTACAGAAAATAATGGATGACGAATTTAGAGATTTTTAAGTTGTGAAATGCTGCTGTAATTAACAAAGTTCAGCAGCTGTTTCTGTCTGTTCATTTTAATATATGCTAATTGCTTGTCATGTTATTTATGGAGCTAAATGATGATACATCCTTTGGAATTAATTTTACTGTGGGAGGTGTATGAATATATATTTTTGTAACAAGTACAAATTCCTAAAACATTACAGTAGCCAATATTTTGAATCAAGAAGGAAATGGATGTTATCATGTTTATCAGCTGTGACTCGCCTGTCTTATCTTATCAGTCTGTTCTTAACTGTCTTCCTGCGTTTAAATCTGTTGCAAGGTTTTTGTGAGTAATAGTGTTGAAACAGTGGGAAATGTTATAGGTTTGCTGTGTTTGCATTTCCAGAGAGGCAAGGTAGCAAGGACCAGTATTATTGTGTTTGTTGCAACTTTAGCTCTTTCTTGAGAGTCTGTGGTGTGTAGGCAGGGTGATCCAGCTGGCATTTTGTGTGTGTGTGAGGTGCCGCTGTCTTTGGTAAGGTTCAGGGATGTGCTTGGTGGTGGGTTTGCTTGCTCTCACTCACTCGCTTGCTCTTTCATTCTTTCACTCGCCCACTGACTCATTCAGTAAGTCACTCTGCAGCTCCTTCCGCCTCCTCTTTTTTCCTCTCTCCTCTACTCNTTTACTTTCTACTCTTCTTCCCTACTCCCTAACCTTTTGTTGCTTCTCATCGGTTTCTTCACTCTCTAACCAGGGGTTTTTCCAGTCTCTTTTTCTTTTCATTGTCTACTGTACTCACACGCGCATTTGTTTCCATTTACCCTTCTCGCTTTTCTTTCAGTTCATAATTCTGGGTTCTCGTCCGGCATCGCGCAGGTTATTCCTTCCCGCGTGTTCTCCCTTGAGCCATCTCTGTCCTGCCACCTGCTTGTGCTCTACATGGAAGTGCCTTCGCACATGTGCCTGTACAAAACTTATCACTGCCGAACATTCATATTTTGGGAATTCCGGGTAGAGAAATGTTTCGCCGTTTGCCTATGGCAGAGAGTAAAACATAAGTTCCAATTACCGGGGCCACGCGTCTGTCTGGAAAGGGGGAGGAGGGGGTAGGGGAGTGAGGTTGGGGGGGTTGGGGTTTCCTGGACCTGTATGCATCTATTGTATAGTTCATCTTAATGACCGTGCCATT